CCAACTCTCTGTGCTTCTGTGTTACAGAACACACTGCTGCAAAACTACTCCCACAGGCCAGGTAACCTTTAGATCATGATATTTATCAAACAGTAACTCAGTAACTTTTAGTTTCATAAATAACAAGTGTGTTTTTTTTAATTTTTTTTTTTTAATCAGATCTTGGGATCTATTGCACCAGACAGTTTAAGACCCCTTTCCCTCCAAAATACTTTGTGTTCTTTAAAGGCACCCTTTAAAGTTTGCCCTGTCTTAATACAATACCTTCTTCCATTCACCTCTACATCCCGTTACCCTCTTCCTTTATTCTGCTGTGGAAATATTTGAAGTTTTATGCTTAATTTGAATTACCTTATTACGTGTCTAGTAGGGATATGGTGTCTAAACTTGTTTCAGAGTCCTCAAAGTTTGCTTTTTCTCATTGGTGTGTTGTTTTGGTAGAGTAGCATGGCTACTCTACCCTCATTGCTTTGAGGGGTATTGTGGGTATAGTGGCATAGATTTACACACAGATACGTAGGGCTGACAGGACTGTATTTTAGAGCATATATATAATGTGGGAGAAGTTTCTTTTTCTCATGGTGGTCTTGCTTTGTGTTAAGTACCTCTGGATTCGCTCTGCAGGAGGGAGGGTTGTATAATCTCTTATCAAATTAATTGGAGTTATCTATTTTTGCAAGCATTTGAGGCTCAGTTTAGTATCTAACATACAAATGCGGATAGCTGTAAGGCGGGTAAGAGCCAGTAAACACTGATCTTCCATCTTGCCATGTATAGACCCACAGAGAGCAAGTCAGTGATGCACTAGGGGTTGGTGTAGCAGGATCCCTTAACAATCTGCTTCCCAATTTAGGATGAGAGGAGGCTTTTTAGTGACTGATAACCTTTTTAAATTCTCACTTTTCTGTCTTGCACTTTATTTGTTACAGCCTAAATAGTGATCGTAGCTGTGATAACCCCATGTTCCCCCCCTGCTTCTCGTCGTGGCATCACTTGTGTGTGCACAAGGTGGTGGGGCTGTTTTCAGTTCCGTCCCTTCTCCTGGTTCTTGTTCCTCAGATGTCCTTAGAAAGCCCCAGATTGGCCCTGAGCTGCTTTCTTTCCATTCAACCTTTGCTTTTAAATCTCCCTCACGTGTCTCCTCTCGGCACGGTATTGATAAGCATATAAAGCAGACTTGCTCTTGTAAGATGAAATGTTCAAAAAGGAAAGGTACAGTGAGATGGGAATTAAATAATGGTCACGGGTCAAAGTGATTTTCCTTTTGATAATAGCTGTGTTATTCATGGGTGAGTGTTCTCGGGGATTAGTTTCTCAGTGAAAATGAGCAAAATTACTCCGTGGTTTTCATGTGTGGTGTTAAAGACCTAAATCTTTTCCTTTTTTAACACAAAAATTGGAGAAAACTTCACCTGAAAGTGTAATATGCGAAACAAAGTTCACATTGAGCTTAGTGTACTAGTAAGTATTTCCTGACGATGCAGAAACTCCACTAAGAAAACTCAAGTGTTGAAAACTTATACATGCAATGGTTGGGTCTTTTTCTGAGTTTATGCCCTCTCCTTCATAATACATTTAATTGGTTTTCAAATCGTAGGACTCCTGGTGTTTTTATTCACAGTATAATTGAATACTTTTTAAAACTTAAGTCTGAAAGAACTTAATTTCCCTTTTAAAATGGTCTTTTGTTTTTTTCTTTCTCACAGATGGGAAGGTTGAAGTGACAAAAGAAGGTGTGAAACTGTGCACCATGGGACCTGGCAAAGTCTTTGGGGAGTTAGCCATCCTCTACAATTGCACCCGAACAGCAACTGTCAAAAGTAAGATCATTTTTGAACTTTGATGTTGAATCACTTGGGATTTCATTGGGAAGTAGGGTTCTTCTCATCTTTCCTTTGGAGCTGCAGCCTCTGTTAGATGTTCCACTTTCTTAATTAATTAAACTCTTTATGGCATGGAATTTAGCCACTGTGAGCAGGAAGAAGATGGAAAAGAAGTGCTTTACCGGATTCTTTCACTCAGGTTTGTTCATGTGGGGAATCTTCTACATTAATGCAGTGGTTGATACTACCTTAAGCATAGGAGCCTGTAGCTAATACCATA